AATTTTTTTTATTTGTCAATGCATCATTTATTTTATTTATTTATATGCGGTTCTGAGGATCAAACCCAGGGCCTCACACATACCAAGCAAGTGCTCTACCAGTGAGCCACAATTCCAGCCCTGGACAATTTCTGAATTGCCAACTTTAGTTGCTTTTTTTTTTTTTTTATGTGAGAAAGAAATAAGTTTCCATCTTGTTCAAACAAGTACTACTTACATGATATGCGTTTGTTGCAACTAAGCCTAATCCTATATGCCAACTTTCTTTAACAGGAAATGTCTGTTGCTAATAATGCATACACCAATACTTATATGTGGTATTAACTAATATATGTTTCAAATCCTTATTCCTCATTCTCTTTTCCAATTTTCTTTTAGCCAAAATAGAGAAGAAGTAGAAAAACTAATCTGTGAATTGGGGCTCTAGAGAAAGCTTCACAAAGCAACAAGGATCATCTAAATGTAGGACAAATCCATGGATTACATTATGCCAACATGAATCATAAGTTCTCTTCAGCTTCTAGCTTCTGACAAAGATCCTCATGACAAAATTCTGTAACTGAGAATTTTGAGAATTCTTCTTTCCCAGTGTTAGAAACTAAAGTTATTCAGGTTCAGGTAGATGCTATTTGGTCTTTTCATTATGTATCAGTTAACAGAGAGTAAGAGTGCCATAAAGTTTTGTTTCTCATGTGTCTTTCTTCTTCCTCAGTGCAAGAATTTCTGAACCACTTTTTCCACTTTTTCCACTTTTTCCAATGATCTTCTTCATTGTTGGCACTGAAACTTTAATGGTGCAAAGGCAGTGGTGGATGAAAGTGCCAATTCCCCAGCCCAAATCAAGGTCCTAGTACCAAGCTGTACCCACAGGTCCTCAATGTCGTTACCACAACACTCAGTTAGGAAAAAAAAAAATCCAATGTCACTTTAAACAGCCTTTGCTATATTCATATCTTATTATTCTGTCTTTCATTATAAAGGTGCCAGCCAAAAACCAAGGATAGTGAACTATGCCCATCCACGTCCGGTGTTCCTACATTCACCATGTACAGTCATAATTTCTCATCATATCCTGCCACCACTTCCCAAAAACTCAAGGTGCATTCCCAACAACTACCAAGGACATTTGGAAGCTTCTTCGTGTGCATTAGTTTTTTAGACATTATATTTTTAAAAAATTGAATCAGTAGCTTCAGAACATTTATAAAAAAGAGAAAAAAACAATTATAAACACTGACCTGTTAGACAATACTAGATAAACATAGATAAATACAATGAGGCAGGATTTTTAAATCCTGTATCAAAGTTTATTATTGTATTGTTTTAGAGTTGCTAGAAGCCCCCTACTCCCACTCATCTCCCTTTTCTGTTTTTTTGGCAGAGAATTATCTTATCCTTTACCTTGAAGATGATAATATAACCATTTTATCAGTATATCCT